CTCCGCGATGGATGCATGTACATATATGTCCCCCATGGATCCCAGACTGAGAGACAGCGGGTGTGTATCATTAGGTCAAACATGCATCACTATACTTGACATTGCATTTCATTGCATTGCACTTCTTTATTATTGGTGAACTTGATCTTGTGTGTTGATGATCTTGTGAGTGCCTTTCTATGGAACTTGTGACTGATAAATATTGAGCTTGTTGTTGAGAATATATGATTGTTAGAATGTTGTTGTTGAGATATGTGCTTGTAAATTGTGAACTGTTAGGTTGGGCTGGTTTTGTACAGATTATAGTTGTGAAGGTTCGGTTGGGGTGTAAGGAGTACTTGTATTCTATCCCCTTAGCTCGTGTTTAGAGGTTACTTGCTGAGTACCGTGTGATTTGGTACTCACCCCTTGCTTCTACAAATTTTTGTAGGTTACGAGCCTGGATTTTTGTGGTACTTGTTATTCTTTTCTTTTTCTAGGCTTCTGGGAGATTTGTGAGGTAGTTGTTTGTCTTCTCAGCGATCCTTCTTACTCCTGTTTATGATCTTATTCTACTCTAGAAACAATGTCATATGAGACTTGTATTTTTCTTTTGATTCAATTGTAATACTTTAGAGGCTTGTACACGTGACAACTAGATTTTGGGGGTATATTTGAGTTTATTATAAAAATTTCCGCATTTTATTGTAATGGTTGAGTTTTAGGCTGACTTGTCTTGGTGGGTTAAGACGAGTGCCATCACGTCCATTTTTGGGTCGTGACAATAATTGACTTTTTTTGTATATGTATACCGAAATATACATATTAATAGCCATAGCAAACATAAAGTTTTCTATGGAGCGCAATTATACAAACTATAACTATAACATACAAATATGATTTTTATGATTGATAAACCTAAAATTTACTCTTCTTTATATTTATCTTCGTCTTTGGAATAAATATGTCAAATAACAATGATAAAAAGGAGAATGAAAATCAACTTGCATACACGTCAATTATTCTATCGGGTATTTATTATTTCTTATCAACATTAGATATCAGATAGTTCTATTCATCCATGTTTTTATAATCTTTTTGGTAAAGTAATTTAAAAAGAAAAATCTACATTCTAATGACTTCGTTCATACACTTAACATTGTTTATACAACACATTGTACAAAAATTTGGCATGTTCAACATCGTTAGGAGTAACCGTTATCAAGAACCGACGTCTCATGTCGACCTAATGATATTTATATTGGTATTGATGTAAACATCGGATGCATATAAATTTGTACTATTATCTTGCTCTTAAACAATTCTTGTAGAATTTTCTATGGAAAATACTGGGAAGTTGTACTATGGTGGTGCAGCAAAATCTATTGTAGTAATGAAGACAACCACCTTTTCGTTACTAGGGTGATGTCCGAGTTAATTTACTCACACTTCTACAATTTCACGAATATCAACTATATCTCTCATCAACATAGGTATCGAATAACTTCATCCACTAAGATTTAGGTGGATGAGAAGAAATTACCTAGTATATAAATATATGAGTAAATATTATATGTTCATATAGTTCGAAGACCATCAAACTCCCTTAAGAAAAGTTGCACCATCTAAGGGACGGTGGTTGATCTATAAGATAAAATAATCTATAATATATATAGAGTTTAAGTTTTGTGCATCGTCGGTATACAAAATTTTCTACACCATCAGTTACTTTTAATGAGATTTAACCATAGTAACTTACTTTAATAAAATAACATTTACTAAAAAATAAAGCATCAACAAGGTAGTTGAATCAAACTTGGATTCTAACCAAAATTATTTCCATAACTAAATTATTTTCTTCCAAAGTACATCACTTTCTTCTCAAGGAACTTCAACTCCTATATTTTGCTCATCTACGTTTAACTTTTCCATTAATCTTGCAAATACAATTATAAATGTTAGATAGCTTACAATTAATTATAAATCTGATCATATAAATAGTCAACACGTTTACTGTAAAATATATTTAATATTAGTGAAAGTCAATAAATAAACTCCTTCCCAATAATCTAAAGAGCAAAGCTTAAGTATTGGGGACAATATGAAGACACTTTAAGATACAATATTCACCTTTCGGGAGATTATGTTCACTTGTTTTTAGTGCATTGAAATTCTTTTGCTCCTGAAGTTGTGTTTAAAAGGGCCTTTTTTATGTTTCTAAATGAGAAAAATGTGAAATTTGTTCTAATTGCATGACGACATATCACTAAGTAGAAGAAGCGTGTCAAGCTTCAAAATCGTTTGACACTTTAAAAATTATTTCTTACTAGTTGACAATGTGATGTTATGAAAAAGTTTGGTGCTGTGAAGAATTACTTGAGCTATAGAAAAAAGTGAAAAACCTACTATAAACATAGTAATTGTAATTAACTTTGGAAAAAAACAATTTAATTATGGAAATTATTTTGGTTAGAATCCTAGTATGATTCAACTACCTGTTGATGTTCTTTTTTTTTTTTTTTAGTAAATTATTGATTTTCTTTTTTCATGAATTATGATTATTTTATTAAAGTAAGTTACTATGATTAAATCAAATTAAATCAAAAGTAACTGATCATGTAGAAAATTTTATATACCAACGGTGCACAAAACTTAAACTCATATATATATATATATATATATATATATATATATATAGATTATAGGGAGTTTGACCCTTGGCCTGACTGACTACTTAGCGGAACAATTCATATTCAAAATCATTTTCACACTAAAGAATTGACCTTAACATCTAAGAACAATTAAGAATCACTCGGTACAATCTTATTTACAAATGAAGAATGGTTCGAGTCTTTACTTAGAAATTTTCAATATATTACAGTATGTCTCATAGACCAACAGCGAAGAAGTAGTGACATGAGTATATAAGAAAATAATCCTTTAATTTTACAAGTCTACATTATACTTATCAGTCAAGTATCAAATATCACGTAATTTCCAAACATCAATAATGAGAATTAAAAATTTGTCTCCTCCCCCTTGACTGAACAGACCACAAATAGCAAAGATAAATAGTTTTTTTTTTTTTTGGAATTAATTTCCTTCCAACAATCAAATCTAAACCTACCCTAAAATATTGAAAAATTAACAATTTTCCATTCTTTATTCAAGAAGTTAATGATTTTTAAAAAAAATTGAATTTCGTAATAACAAATTGAAATTGCTTAACAACTTCAATATTTTAACAAGCATCTCTCTAACAAATAGAAATAGTCCTTGTTTTTTAAAATTAACAAAAATATTCAAAACACTTCTAGTGCTTAAAATGACCTAACGGATTGTTACAAGTATATAAGATTAAAAGTAAATTACCAAAGTATAATAAGAGTAAATATTATATGTTCATGTAGTTCTTACACCATCAAACTCCCTGTAAGTAAATTACCAAAGTATATATATATTACTATCTGTTTATATAGTTCTAATATAACACCATTAAACTCCCTGTAAGGAAAGTTGTCCCTTAGAACCATCTAAGAGGTGGAGTTTGATCTAAATATATCTGTATATATTATATTATTTTTATCTAGAAGGACCCTTATCTATAAAATAAATAAAAATAATATATATTATTTTATAATCTATAAGGTAAGATAAGCTACATTACTTTAATACTCTCTCTGTTTTATTTATTTTATATGATGTAGTTTAACTTAACACAAAATTTAAGAAAGAAAGGTTTTTAGAAATTTGCAATCTAGAATAAGTGATAGACAGTGATGGAGCCAGGATTTAGATTGAGGGGTGTCAAAATATAAAGTAGTATGCACACAAAAAATTCAACAAAATAAATTTTATTAATAAAAGCAAAACACAATTACATTATTACAACCGTACTCGACGCGGTTTCATCTCTTGAAATGTTTTTACAATAGTATCATTAGAAATATTAATAAATACATCTTTTTCTACAAAAGGAACTAGACAACCGCTCAAAAGCTCATCATTCATCTGATTCCGCAAGGCATTTTTAATAAACTTCATTGCCGAAAAAGCTCTTTCAACGGATGCAGTGGCAACTGGTAAAAGCAAAGCAAATTTCACTAAGCGGAATACAAGAGGAAAGTTTAGGTTCTTCTTTGTCTCAACTAATTTTCTTGAGAGATCACAAAGTCCATTAAGATTGGAGAACATTTCATCCATATCACGAACATCAATAATGTAAGTGGCAAGTTGATTCTCAAGAGCATTCATACTAAGCTCATCAAAGTCATCAGGATATAACTTAGCCATTCTCATTATTTTTCTGATGTTAAAACTAGAAAATGAGTCAACTGGATTCAAACAAGCAACTCCATGAAGCAAATCAATAGTCACCTCATTGAAACGATCATTGAGTTCTTGAAGCTGCCAATCAATAATCTTACAAAATACTTCAACACGATAATGATGTAAGATCGTATAATCGGAAGGTTTACGCCTTGATCTTCCAGAATTAACATATGGCTCATCAAAATTAGGTAACAAAATGTTATACTTGATACAAAATGTGGATACCTTATTAATAAGTGCATCCCATCCATCATCTCTTAGCATTTGCAACCTTCTCTTTGCTACTTTAACCAGTAGCATAACATTTGCAATATCTTGTTCTTTCTTTTGCAAGGATTTATTGAGCTCATCTGTGATTCCTAAGATATCTCTCATCAAATGCAACATAAAAGCAATCTTAAATGTTTGACAAGCTTCGAGATATCCTGTTGCCTTAGCTCTTTCATCGGTAGAATATGCATCAACAACAAGTGCATCAAGAACATCAACAATAGATCCAAACATAAGAATAAAATTGCTAAAAGATTTGCAGTAAGATCCCCAACGAGTATCACCGGCTCTTATAAGACCAAGTTCTTGATGTAAGCCGGTACCGGTTGTAAGTTCACCCATATCTAATGCCTCTTTAATTCTTTTTTTTTGAGAATCTTGAAATTTATCCATACGCTTAAAAGAAGCTCCCAAAACATTCAAAACATTTGAAACCAATAATACAAGTTCTCCCACTTGAATACCTTTTTAGAAACTGCAACAAGAGTTAATTGAAGTTGATGAGCAAAACAATGAATAGAGTGAGCTGAGATACTTTCTTGCCTAGTTAACATTTTAAGGCCATTCATCTCGCCTTGCATATTACTTGCCCCATCATAACATTGTCCGCTCACATAGGATAGACTCAATGAATGTTGAGCAAGTACATTGACAATTGCCCCCTTTAAAGATAAAGCACTAGTATCTTGAACATGTACAATATCAATCAATCGCTCCACCACAAATCCCATTCGATCAACATATCGTAAAACGATAGCCATTTGCTCCTTACATGACACATCAAAAGATTCATCAACCAATAAAGAAAAATAGTCACCATTTAATTCCTGGATAATAGCTTTGATGGTTTCTATCTTACATGCAGTGACAATATCTTTTTGAATCATTGGAGAAGTCATTTGGTCATTCTGAGGAGCACGTTCCAATACATAATCATAAATTTTATCACAATGTTTCGCATACCATGAGAGAATTTCAAGAAAATTACCTCTATTAAGTGATGATTTAGATTCATCATGACCCCGAAATGCAAATCCTTGATTCAAATGAAGTCTTACTACATCAATTGAGGCAGACAAGTGAAACCAATACTCATGCTTAACTTGATCAGATTGTCTCTCAAATGCAAATATAATAGATTGTTGTTGTTGCATTAGATCTTCACTTTTCGTTTTTGCCTAATTATGAGTGCTATTCGTCCCATCAATATGTTGCTTAAAACTTTTCTTCTTATTCCAACTCTTAAACCCTATAGTAGAAAATACTTCACCTCCACCTTGATGAATGTTATCATCTTTAAACAAATAACAATTCAAACAATATGTTGCATCGTTAGTTACACTATATTCCAACCAATCATAATACTCTTTAAACCATTCAGGATTAAAACAATGCATATCTCCATAAAAATCTGTTTGAGGAAAAAAATGATTCTCAGGTTGACAAGGACCTTGTCGGAGGTATGCTCTCCTAATTACATCACGATCATTTGGATAATAGTTCAAGATTGGAGTCCTTTTCGCTGGATCAAATTCTAAAGAATTTAAATCAATTTCTTGTCTTTGAGAAGAATGGAGGGGTACTTCTGATTGGTTGGCATTTTCTTCCCGTGTAAGTTGACTATTAGAAGCCAAATTTGATTTTGGTACTTGAAAAAAATAGTTCTTCACTGATTTTTGAGACTGAATTGTAAAACAAAAATTTCATGAGAAAGTACAAAGACATAGATTGACGCCGAGCAATGGCGATTGAAGTCTGAAGACGACTGCACGACGCAGTCAGCGAACAAAGACGATTATTTTGGACTCTTCCTCTTCAAAACTTTTGATTTTGGAATTGGGGATTTGTTTAATCCCTAGACTCTAAATCCCTAAAGTGTATTTTATTTCTTTTAAAAAAATAAAATATTAAAGTAAAGTTAATTTAAGTCAATGGTTTAAAAATTGGAGGAAAAAAACGTTTAGCTATCTAAAAACTAAAGACAAAAAAGTTACAGCTGTCTAAAAAGTAAAAAAAAAAACGCTGAAAGCCTTTAAAAAAAAATAGACTTCAGCAAGGTTCGAACTCCCAACACCTAGGTCAATGAGAAGGCGGACATTTGTAGCCCCTGAACCGCTGAACCAACACTTTAACTTGGTTCAGGAGTGTCAATTCTAATATATATAGGTATAAAAATAGAATTTGACTTACCTATACAACGTAATTTTCCGATGAAGGGGTGTCGCTTGACACCCCTCGGGCAAGGGTAGCTCCGCCCCTGTTGATAGATGTTTGTGTAAATCATTTTATTAATGGTAAAATAAACATTTTAAAGTGAAATTGTGGAGTACTAACTATAAAAATGTATCATTTTTTATTTAAGCAAATAATGCTTCATAAAATATATTTATTGAAAAAGAAAAAAAGAAAGAGATGAACCAAATGTAGTAATATGTTTCTATAAATACCACATTGGTTGAGAAGGAAACTCACCCTTCACATATTCTTCTATTTTCCATTTTCCAATCAAAGTAGCATTACACAATTGGCTGGAGCACGTCTTAACTTTGCATTTTACTTTGTTGTTGTCCTAGCTGCAACTACTGGTTCATTTCCTTACCTTCCATCTTATCACACAATTTAAATTTTTATTAGTGTGGGCTAATTTAATTAATTAATGTGTCTATTAATATTTGTTAATTAATTATATTCATGATATGCAGTTACTATGTCTCGTTCACCAAAGCTGCAAGCAATGGGTGCGCGCGATATGTCAGTTGATATTGTAGCGATTGAACAAAAATTAATTCCGGTTGGTGATATAGTAACTTGCTTGAAAAGATGCTACGTGCAAAGTGATTGCAACGATGGATGGCTTTGTACAGATTGCGCGAATGATGCATTTGATCAAGGTGGAAAGCATTGCGACAAGTTTACTGCTTCTGGACAAGGATATTTCGCCATGCTCACTCGTAGTCAAGCTAATTAAGGTGGCTGGTCATGAATTTGCAGTTTGCTGCTGCAAATTGAATGTAGAAATAAGTTCGTTGCTTTATGTTATGTTATGTTTGTTAAGTTCACTGCATGTGTTAGTCTCTTGTTACCTTTGTTCCTCTTTGTGTAATAAATAATAAGTGGACTTCTATGGTTGCTTTATGATAAATTAATGTAAGCAATTTGGCTTGTGATTGTCATTGTTTATGATCAATTATGCAGTTTAGTTTCCTTTCATTCCTAGCTAGTATAACTATATTTATTAAGTCAAATTATTTCAAAATCAAAACTAAATAGTTATTGGAGATTATTGGTAGTATTAAATCTACAAAAGTTGTTTGAATAGAGTATTTTTTAAGAGTAATATGTATAAAATTTTAGAAGAGTGAGTAGTATCGACATGTGTGCTATCAGAGCTATGGATAATAAGAAACATAGTAAGAAACATACTAGTAGAAAGATAAGAAAATTAAGAAGAAAATTAAACAAATTATATCCGGAATATAAACAACTCAATATTACAAAAACCGATAACGATAAATTAAATCAATTAATAGATAATATATCTAAAATAGAATATAAATATATTCAATATTTAAAGATACAATAAATAGCGAGAATAATGAATATAAAGAAAAACTTACTGAAATAATTATAGCGATAGGCAAGTATTATAACATAGGCAAAATAGACTTAATAATAACATATTCGCAGGAACTTGTAAAAAATCTATAATAGCACAGAGAAAAACTATTTTTTTTATCTAGAAATATAAATAGAAAGTTTAGAATATAAACTTCAACACAATCTATAAATGAATAAGGAAGAATACGCAATAGATGAAAAAACATATGAAAACTATGACGGATTAAAAATAAAGATAATATTTTCCAATCTAGGAAGAAGATATAAGAAAATAGGTGACAATCTAAGTTTAATGTTAGAAAAAGAAACGGTAAAACTAGAAGATAGTTTAACTGCTATGATAAGAATAACAAAAGAAAATGAAGAAATAGATAGAAAAACGAAAATTGAAAAAATAAAACAACAAGCAAAAAAGGAAGTACAACAATTAGAAGAAGTAAAAAATACTAAAATAATAGAGCTAGAAAAAGAGCTAGCAATATTAAAAGAAATGTATGAAATTAAACAAAAAGAAAAAGAACAAAAAACAAAATTAGCAAATGAGATAATTAAATTTAAAGAAAAATTGCAATTAGAAGATGCATTAGAAGAAAAAGAAGAAAATAGCCAAGATAATCTACCCGAAATAAGAATTGATGAAATAAACGACGATGATCTAGAACAACATTCGGAAACAAGCGAAACATATACGGAACTTTTAGCAAACATAGATAATACAAAGAATTTAGAAGTAAATACAGGAGACGTAGACATAGATGAAAAACCTAGCACATCAGGAGTAAATAATCCAAAAAATTTAAATCCAAAATATTATAATAAAAACTATGAACAATATGATAGAGAAAAAACTATATGGGATAAAAGATTAAATAAAAAATGGACACCTAAACCAATAACTGAACGACATGATTATTTAGGTTTAGACTGTGTAGCAGATATAAATAAAACAATCCAATTATGGATAGGATATATATCAAAACAATTAATAGATAACAAAATAGTAATAACAGAAACACCATGATATATAGAAAGAACACTTATAGGAACAGTAAAATTATGGCTACAAATTCTATCAGATAAAAGTTTAAAAACTTTAAGAAGTAATAAAAAATCTAATGGTGAATTAGCTACTATAACTATGGAAATATTACATAAATACGAAATAGCTATAAGAAATGAATTTAGTAGTATGACAACAAAAGTAGAAGAACAAAATAGAGAAAAAATCATAAACCGGAATCTAATGACAAAATTAGCAATATGTAATATGTGTTAAATAGATGAATATACATGTGCATTCAGAGAATATTATTATAAAGGAACATATAGCACAGAAGAAAGTAAGGAAATAAGAAAATTATATTTTACAAAATTACCAGAACCTTTTAATTAAAAAATAATAAAAAGTTGGAATGAAGCAGGATTAACAGATCATTAGGAGCTAGAATAAAATTCTTACAACGATGGTTTATAGAACTATGTGAAAAACATAAAGAAGAAATAAAAATGGAAAAAATACTAGTAAAAAACTTTGCATGTTGCAAAAATAAAACGGCACCCCAATTTGGATGTACTGATAAATACTATAAAAAGAGATATAACAAAAAATATATATCAAAATATAAATATAAAAAACCAAGAAGAAGATACTATGTAAAAAACTACAAAACCAAAAGATCATATAGATCAAAAAGAAAGCTAACGGAATGTACTTGTTATAATTGTGAAAAATTAGGACATATAGCTAGAGATTGTAAATTACTCAGAAATTCAAAGAAAAAACAAATATCAGAAATAATAATAGATGATGAAAAATATACGCAGATAGAATACATAGATTATGAATTAGAAAGCAATGATAGTATATATGAATTATCGAAAAATGAAATAGAAATTAATTCAGTAACAGAATCAGATAATGAATACTATATAAATGACTGAAATAGATATACAAATAATAACTAAAGAAAATCATCAACATGAAGAATCTTTAGAACAAAAAAATATATTTGATAATAGCATATTTGAACAAATAAAAGAAAAAGAATTAGACATAAGCGTAGAAAAAATATTCGAAATACCAACAATAAGAAATTGGTTTAAATGACAAAAACAAGAATATTATGTAGTAAGTCAAAGAGAACATATCATAGATTGCAAATACACCAAAGGAAAGGCTAAAATACCAATAATAAATAAACGAATAATAAATAAAGAAATACAAGATCTTAAGGCTAAAAATCCAATTAAATATGTACATTTAGGAGGAACAAAAATACTAATAAAAGTATGTTTTAGAGAAGGAATAGAACTAGACCCGGGAAGCAAAATATTTACAGTTAGATGTAAAAACTTATATGTTTTAACAACAAAACATAAAATAACAGCAAAAAATAAAATAATAAAATAAAAATAGAAAATCCTTTTGAAAGGATAGTTACAGTCATAGATAATAATGATTATAGTTATAATGAAATTGATATAGAAGAAGATTTGGAAATAGTAAAAGAAAGACTAAGTACATAAAAAAGAATAAATAATGAGATACTCCAAATATCATAAAAAATGAGTACCTCAAGAAGAATAGATAAAACCCCACAAAATCAATGGAAGAAGAAATAAAACCACATCATTACTACATAACGGGAATAATGGAACAACGAAAATATTTAATATTAATAAATACATGACTAGAAGAAAACTATATTACAAGAGAATTAGTAACGGAAGATGAAATAATAACTACTGAACAATTATGCCCCGAACTATCAAAAGCATTAATGTATACCGAAGAAACTACAGAAAAGGAAATAATCATTGGAGGCGTACCAATAGTAATAAAATTTAAAATATATCAAGGAGATGAAAATATCACTTTAGGAATAAAATGGCTAGAACAAGTAAAACCATATAATCTAGAAGACAATCAGTTAATAATAAATTATGAAAATAAAAGAGTAATAATAAAAAGGACTTTAGTATGATAAAAATATGAAAATATATATACTTGCAAAGATAATAATAGAGGGATATTACAACAAATATTATACACCAATGATAGATACGGGAGCAGAAGCTAATATATGTAAATACAATTGTTTACCAGAAAATAAGTGGAAAAATTAAAAACACCGATAGTAGTAACATGATTTAATAATGAAGGAAGCATGATCACATATATATAAGGCAAAAAATATAAAAATACAAATATGGGATAAAATATTAACTATAGAAGAAATATATAACTTTGAATTGACTACAAAAGATATGCTATTAGGAATGCCATTTTTAGAAAAATTATACCCACATATAATAACAAAAACACACTGGTGGTTCACAACACCGTGTAAACAAAAAATAGGAGCAAAAAGAGTAAATAACAAAAAACGAAAAACAACAGAATGGATAAAAGGAAGTGAAAAAATTACACAAAAATTAGAAAATATAAAAGAGGAAGACCCCAAGATATAATTAATTATATTCTCTATAGATAAAGTAAAAATAATCCAAGATAAGTTAGAATTATTATATAGTGAAGATCCTTTACAAGGATGGGAAAAACATAAAACAAAAATAAAAATTGAGCTAATTGATAATAATAGTATAATAACCCAAAAACCATTAAAATATAATTTTAATGATTTAACAGAATTTAAGATACATATAAGTGAATTACTGGAAAAATGGTACATACAAGAAAGCAATAGCAAGCATACAAGCCCAACATTTATAGTAAATAAACATAGTGAACAAAAAAGAGGAAAAAGTAGAATGATTATTGATTATAGAAATTTAAATGCAAAAACTAAAACATATAATTACCCGATACCAAATAAAATATTAAAAATAAGACAAATACAAGGATATAATTATTTTAGTAAATTTGACTGCAAATCAGGATTTTACCACTTAAAGTTAGAAGAAGAATCTAAAAAACTTACGGCATTTACAGTACCACAGTGACTTTATGAATGGAATGTATTACCATTCGGATATAAAAATGCACCAGGTAGATACAACACTTTATGGATAAATATTTTAAACAACTAGAAAACTGTGTAGTATATATTGATGATATATTATTATATTCCAAAACCCAAGATGAACACATAAGATTATTAGAAAAATTCATATATATCATAGAATATTCGGGCATAAGCTTAAGTAAAAAGAAAGAAGACATAATGAAAAGCCAAATAGAATTCCTAGGAATACAGATAGATAAAAATGGAATAAAAATGCAAACATATATAGTACAAAAAATAATTAACTCAAATGAACAACTAGACACAAAAAAGAAATTACAATCATTCTTAGGACTAGTAAATCAAGTAAGAGAATACATACCAA